TCTCTCTCTCTCTCTCTCTGTCTTCTCTACTCCCTCCTCACCCCCTTCCTTCCCTTCTATTTTTCCATAGCCGGTTTCCCTGCCAATGAAGAATCTTCAGTATAAGAACTTTCAATAATTAAAACCTCCAAGATTTTGCATTAAAATAAAAAATAAATTCCCCAGTTATCCCAAAGTCCACCAAATCTCTCAAAGGGAGTTTCTGGCCATGAATGATGTGATTATTGTCATTAAGAAATATGCTAAATGATTAGTCAAGTGTGGGTCATTGTTTACTCCTTTGAAGATTGATTATGAGATATTTTTTTTTAGGAGTTCTTGTATGATTCAAAGAACTCAAGGAATAAAAAGTGGTAGGATGTTTGGAGAGAAAGCTCAAATAACCCCATCAATAAAACCAGAGATTCTTGCAGATAATTGAAAATTGAGTTAAACTGTTCGCTGAGCTTGTATGTCTGCTGGACTTCCTGCAGTATTTGTTGGTCATTAAAATATCTCCTTTGAAATTATCAACACGAATGTCACCATGATATGGAAAGATATTCAAATTGACAAATATTTTTCATTTAAGAATGTCATTAATATTATATAAAACAAATAAGATAATTTTTTTTCTAATTAAATAAATCCTTGTGAATAATAATGAAATTTCAAATTCACGAATGTAGTATACATCCATTTGTGTAGTTTTTCCTTGTTTTACTGCAAGTATGCTTTCTAAGTGTCTGGTGCATAAAATTACATAATTGCTTTCTTCTTTATAAGTTGTATCTTGTCCGAACTGTGGGGTGTGTGTGCGTGTGTGTGTGTGTGTGTGTGTGTGTGTGTGTGTGTGTGTGTGTGTGTGCGCGTGCGCGCGTGATACTCTGTATTACTCTGTGTTATATGTTTCTTGGGATTTTCCATGTAAGCAATCATGCCATCTGCAAATCACAGCCATTTTTATTCTTCTTCAGTTGTATCTCTTTGTCTCCTCTCCTCTCTCCCTCACCCCTGTCTCTCTTACTCTGTCATGCAGTCATTAGGAGCTCCCATAAATGTTGATTATAAGTGATCAGACAAATCATCCTTGCTGTATTCGTCTTTGTTGAACCTAGGGGTATCAGGTTTAATATTTTAGCATTATGATTTTTATTATAGGCAGGTAGTCACTTTTGCATTATTATATGTTCATGGTTTTTTAAGAAAATGGAAGCTAATATATTTTCTAAATGTTTATTCTCATAAGAAGGTTAAGGGATGTGTTTCTTTCTCTCATTTTCTCTTCCCATATTAATAGCACAGCCCAGTATAACACTACCTCTCTCTTCTGTTTTGCCAAATGTTTTAAGTAAATATATCTCTATTTTTTTCTTTTATTCTGGATCATGGAAGTATAATCTTGGATCCAATTAAATTTCTAAACTCATGTTTAGGTGTTTAGGTAAAGCAACAGTATGAGTCACATGGTTCATATTTTTCCTTCAATCTTTAGGCTTTTTTTAAGGATAATACATTCTACTGTGGAATATTTCTCTCTGGAATCATGTTTGTGATGACAACAGGTATGAACTTAGATATATCAATTTTTTTTCTGAACAGCGAAAAATACTTCACCGACATCTCTAATTACCTGCTGGTGCCTTAAATATGTAATTATTCAAACTATTAACACTGTATCATTTACTCACTGTGCACTATTGCTGAATTGTCTTTGGATATTAGATTCTAGCGATGTCTCTATGGTTTGGAAACGGATTGGATGTGCTTCCCAAGGTTTCCTATTTTGAAATCCAATCCTTACTGTGAGTTATCAAGA